GAGAAGGGGTAGAAAGAGAAAAACAGAGGGGGGGTGTGTGTGTGTGTGTGTGTGTGTGTGTGTGTGTGTGTGTGTGTGTGTGTGTGTGTGTGTTTGTAAATGCTGCCACCGCAGCTCAGAGCTCAAGAATGTTCCATTATGCTGTGAAATGGAAGGTTGTCAGAGTTTAGGGTTTTATTACCCATCATGCACCAGTACTAGTTTCCCAGATCTTGTCGATAATCTTTGGCGTTTTAACCTCCTGTAGGATCCAAGAGATGGGTTTTTTTTTTCTCTGTAGTTTGTGGTGTGTCTGTAGATGATGTTCAGTCACATGCACAAACATACACACATCTTCATTCACATCTCCATGACGTATTTTCATGTGAAACAATATTATGAATAATGAAGGGTGGGACTTGATTTTAACCATCTGTATTTGAATGGATTGTAATCATTGCTAAACTGTTAAGTAATGGGTCATATTTGACAATTTTATCAAATATTACTGTAATGCAGAATAGTAATATAAAGCTGAAGTATTTTTTTTTTTTTTTTTTACAAATACATCAAAGATGCATAAATAATTTATGGAGAAAAAACTATGTGTGTGTGTAGTATTTTGCCAAGAATTTTTAAATATTTTTATGAAGTGTTTATTTAAATTTTTTATTTTTTTTAAAAAGTTGTAATTGTCCAAAATTAATTTGTTGTTGTACAAAATGTTTAATTAAATAATTTTGTATTTCATTATCTAAAACAGTTATGGAAATCACCATTGAAAATAATGAGAATTAAAACAAAACATTACAGTAATGAGAGTTTCTGGGGAAATGTGCATAATTATCATGATAATAAAATCACAATGATAAAAGTCTTAATATATATATATATATATAATTATTATTTTTTGTTGTTGTGAGGTTCATGCTTGTATACAAACTGTGAAATACTTTTTGCTTTGGCGTTTCTCATGTTATTTTCTCTCTTTCTGCAGGTTTTCCCTCCTCTGCCTAATGAAGCTGAGATCGCACACACGAAAAAACTGTTTCGTCGCCGCAGAAATGACCGCCGGTGAGTCACTCCGTCTTAATGTTACTTCCAGTTGTTTAGCGCAAGCGTTACATACAGAGCGCTGACGTTAGACTCGTAAAGCAGAGAAAACAGCAGCTCACACTTTCCACTCATGTTGACTGTTAATGCAATGAGAGCGTCAGCCGGTGTGTTTGTGCTCGTGTAAACCCTAACACTCTGGATCTGCATGTTCTTTACTCATAATCTGCTCGTTTAATCTATAAAAGCACTTCCACTTTTTTTCTTTTACGTTTTGACTTTGACTTCATCGGAAAAGTTCTCTGTTGTAATTTGCAGTTGCTAAGAAACGGCAAAAAAAGAAAATATTTTGGTCTAAACTTGTGCGAAAGAAAAGGAGAAGGAGGAGGGTGAAAGAAAGCAAAAGCTTTGTATTATTCGTGGCTTTGTTGATGTGAAGAAAGGCTCTGATGTCCTTGTGTGTGAAAGCCAGTCTGACTGCATGCCTTCAGCGGACGCTTCTCGTGTCTGCTTTGTGATGCCGCTGGATTCGAGGACGTTTACGCTGAGGTGTTGGCTTTGACAGGACGTGTGGTTTATATGTGAATAAAGGCTTTTTATTCATTAAACTTTACTAGTGCTCTTGATGCCCGTGAGTCAGGATTTGTATAGTTAACTAAAACTAAAACCATGAAAAAAACAAACATTTTTTTTTACTTGAAATATGATTAACTGGAATAAAATAAAAATCCTTAAACTTTATTTATTTTCAAAATTACTAAAACTGTAATGAAAATTTAAATAAATATTATTAAAAAATTAAATTACAATTAATAAATCTTACTAAACCAACATATAAATATATAAACAAACATATTTTTGTTTCTTTAAAATAGAATAAACTGAAATAAAATAAAATATAAAAAACTTAAACTTATTTTATTTCTGTTAGTTGCCAAAGCAACATTTCTATTTTCATTTAGTTTACTTGATGTACTAAAATAAAAAAGTAAAACTGAATATATAAATAAATAAAAACTATATTGGCATATTTAAAAAGTAAATAAATAAATAAAAATTACAAAAAACATTTTTTTTATAAATATTTCTCCAAAAATGAAATGAATAAATAATTTAATAATAAAATTATAATGAATAAATATTAATATATAAACAAACATATAAATATATAAACATTATTGATTCTTGAAATATAATAAACTAAAATACAATTATATATTTAAACACACACACATATACAGTGGGTACGGAAAGTATTCAGACTAATGAATAAATATTAATATATAAATATAACAATAAAAAATATAATATAAAAATAGTGTAAATAGTATCTCTATTATTATTATTATATATTTTTTTTTTTCAAAATGTTCAGGTTATTTACTGTAAAATATTTTAAAGAGTGAAATTATTATAATTAGGGGGTCTTAAAGTTGACTGTGTAAGTAGTCCCGTAACAATAAGTAGCCTAGCAACCACTTGGAACACCCTAGCAACCATATAGCAATGCAATAAAACCACTCAGGATGCCATAGCAACTCCCTAGTAACCACCCACAGCATTCTAGCATTGTATCTGCAAGTTACTAATAGTGTAAAATTACGTTTTTGCATGTTTTACTTGGCTTTCAGACCACAGAATATGAGGATATGTCCGCTTTGACTGCTAAAGTTGGATATAAGAGAAAAGACAATCTAGAGAATCGTGTGTGTGTGTGTGTGTGTGTGTGTCGCTGTTCACGATACTACATGAGATGATTCTCTTCCCACATCTCTCTCTCTTTCTCTCCCACTCCTCTAACAGAAGGCTTTTTCAGCCTGTTATTGCTGGTCTTGGCCACCCACAATGCTTTGCTCCTGCCAGAGAGGACTCTGCGGTCGAGTTGTTTGTTGGCATCGCTTCTTGCCTTTTCTTTCTTCTCGCTGTCTCTCTCGCTCTTTAGATTAGTTTGCTGAATCGAAACATCTTTGCAGTCACATTTATGAACTGCAGCATTTTGCTGACAGAATCTCACAGGAAAGCAGCAGCTGTTTGACTTCATTAAGAGCCAACGACTTAAGAAAAGTTACTTCTGATCAAATGAACACCAGCATGATTTCTGAAGATCATGTGACACTGAAGACTGGAGTAATGATGCTGAAAATACAGCTTTGATAACAGCAATAAATTACATTTTAACATATATTCAAATATAAAACTGTTATTTTATATTGTAATAATATTTCACAATATTACCGTTTTTACTGTAATTTTGATTAATTAAATGCAGCCTTGGTGAGCAGAAGACACTTCTTTCTAAAACAGTATATTATAAATCATACCAACCCCAAACTTTTGATTGGTGTTTTATTTTTTGACCTTATTTTACTTTATAACAGAAGCCTGTTTTAATTTATATGCAGTAGTTTGAGGCAAAGGAATATGCTTCTCAGGTGTGTGTGGGCTTTTTGGCATGTTTCAGTAGTTCAGAGCCTTTAAAGAAGCTCAATATCAAGTGAATTTGCAGCTGATGACTCAAATCTACAATCAGATGGACTGAAATAAACCAAGACCCTGTTCATCCTCTGGATGAGGAATGATGTGGACCTTCACAATTGAAGAGAGAGGGATGATATGGACACAAAAGGCATCAAAAAAGGCACATTTTTGTTTTTCTTTGAGGATCCTTGGCATAGGAAATGCACAAGCTGCTCACAGAAAGTGTTTTGTTAAGCTTGTTTTAAAGGGGTCATATGATGCTTTTTTAAAGATCATTATTTGGTGTAACAGAATATGTTGACATGCTTTAATGTTCAAAAAACACATTATTTTTCAAATACTGTACATTATTGTAGGTCCTCTATGCCCCGCCTCTCTCAAACGTGTCCTCCTCGTTATCATTGAGAAAACCTAATTCTAAGATAAAAGATTATTTTATGATGATCAGTGAATTAGGTGTACCAAACAATCACGAAGCAAAGAAGAATTAAATATCTAGCCTAGGGGTGTGCCATGTTGACAAAAAATGAAACTTTCATCACCAAAACCATCCTGTCTTCTCATATTTACAGCAACATATCTCTGGTTTCCACAGCATTATGTAGATGCACATGCCTATTGCTGCCCTTAAACCCTAAAGCTACTGTTTTGTTTTGTTTTGTTTTGAATGTACTTATTTTATTTTATATTTAAATTATTTTATTTCATATTTTAAATATTTAATTTTATATTTTAAGTATTTTTTAGTTTTATTTTATTAACTCCTGTAACATTTTATAGTTATTTTGTTTTATTCTTTTAATTGCTTATTTTTTTAATCAATTATTTTACTTTATTTTATTTTGTCCCCAATAGATTTCATAATTGTCCCAATTATTCACTCCTGCATTTTTGTTAGTTGTTACTGTTCCACCTCCTCCATTTCCTTTTGTTCTTTCTGTTGTATTTAGTTCTCTCGTATCTTCTTGTTTTCCATCCCTCCTTGTTTCCACCCTCCCATCCACCTTGTTCACGTCGTCTCCCTGTGGTACCCATAGCCGATCCGATCCGCCCCAGGACCAGCTGATGGTGCTGCTGCCGGCCGAGGGGAAGCGGCAAGTGTCCAGGTCAGTGTCTCAAACGGGTCCAGCTCCTAAATCCTGTCCGCTCAATCTTGTCCTTCCACTTACAAACTTCACTCACAAGAACCGGACTCCTGAACTGCTTATGGGTTCTGACCTGCTCTTGGGATGCAAACTAACCATCTTCTGACTGGATCGGAGACCCTGATGTCCTGTTTGCTTTATTCTGCTTGCACAACATAAATCCTCTGTACAGCGTGTTCTCATCCTCACCTGCCTCTCTTCAGTTGAGTCATCATTAATCTGCAAAGTATCTCCGTACAAAGTCCAGTACGGAAATCCAAATCTACAGGCATTAAGGTGGCGGGTATGAGGGATATTAATGACGGTCATTACGGTGTTCAGCTGGAATGGGTTGAGAAGATCTGGTGGAGTGAAAGGGTTGCTAAACATTTGTTGTCAAACATGTATACATATATCAGCTTGGCCATCAAAAAATTCATAATTGAATATAACTCAAATTATTAAGAGTGAGATCATATATATATATATATATATATATATATTAGGGCTGGGCGATATGATGATATGTATCGGATGAACGAAATTAAAAGTCTATTGTTTCATATTATGCTCTATCGTTTATTTCGTAGTGCCGCAAAATACATTGTTTACGGCAATACTTTTTCATCTTTTGAATGACTGCCCGTCACGTTGCTGTGCGCGTGGTCACGAAAACTTCATGTTTGCACGCATTTTTAAGCACTGCAGTTTAAAACAACTAATTTTAGGCCGTTGTAACACAAACAACAGAGCTATATGTGCGCGCTGTCTCTGTTTCTGTGTGAGAGGAGTGCGTAAGCTGCGCATCAGCTGCTAATAGAGCTCGTGAGCATTTTTGCCGCTTTATTGGCTTTGAACAATCGCATAAACACTTATATGCGTCCAAATGCCCGGCTTTGCAGGTATCCTCATAAACAGTCATTTAGGTCTTAAGAGAACGTAAACAGTTGCGAGAGAAAGCGCATGTGTAACAGTATATTGGATCCAGACTTCGGTCTTAAAGGGTCTGCCATTCATGTTAATCAAACAACAGTGAGAGATTTGCTCTTGACTAAATCACTTTTGTAACTAGAGTAAGAGGAAAATAAATAATGATAATGATAATAATTATGCCTATATAGATATACAGATATATAGATTTTATATATATTTATATTTATATAGAGAGAGAAAGAGATATGGATATATAGATAGGGAGATAGAGATAACTTACACAGTGAAGACTAATTAATTTACACAATGTATTTCTTATTTATTGTAGTTTTTTTGTCCTATTGCTTGTAATTAGTTTCTTGTTCTTATTTCATCACTGACTGTTTATTTATCTCCAGTGAGCTTGAGTTTTTTTTTTTTTTTTTTTTTTTTTTCTTGTATTAGTTTGATATCGACATTGGTGACAAGGATTATGAAAAGTCTATGGTATCAATAGGGTTGTAAAGGGGTGGAAAATTTCCAGAAACTTTCCATAAATCCATGGAATATTCCAAAAAAATCCTGGAAAGTTTCAAAAATGTCTGGAATGTTTCCGAAATTTACTGGAAATGTTCCACCTTTCCTTTTTGCAACCCAAGGTATCAGACATTTTAATATAATAAAAACCTTATTAAAAGAAAACTATATCGTTATATATATATATACACCGTGATATAAAATTACTCATATCGTGATACAAGATTTTGGTCATATTGCCCACCCCTAATATATATATATATATATATATATATATATATATATATATATATATATATATATATATATATATATATATATATATATATATATATATATATATATGTATGTATGATCTTACTCAATAATTCACTTAATAATTTGAAGAATTTAAAGAAAAACTTATCTGTAATACTGATTATTAACAATGCCAAATATCGTCTAATATATCCATCTTCTGTCAACCACTATTAGACATTACCTGAAAACATAAAAATGGAGGTTGATGGTTCTAGTATCTTCTGTAAATGAACTGTTTTACATGGTGGAGAACTAGTGTTCTGTGATGGAGAAAATGGGCTACTACAGACTTTAATCACTTTAATTAGGAGTATGAGTGTGCTTCTGTTCCTCACAGTTTTATTTTCATTTGCATCAATTTAAATATACAGTAGTGTCTGCTGTAAATTAAATCTTTAGCTATTCAAGTGAGCGATGCAGAGCAGTGCACAACTTTTTGACAGTTTTTAGCACTGTCAAAATAAAAGTCCTATTGCTCTCAAAATAAAAGTTACATTTACATTTAGTTATTTTGCAGACACTTTGCTCCAAATCGACTTACAATTGGGGAATACATAAAGCGATTCTTTTTAAAGAGGCAACCAGACACAGGAAGTGCTTGTAATACCAAGTTTTAGGTATTGATCAAATAAGTACAAGCTAGAAAGGGAAGGAATAAATAAAGAGAGAGACAGTTTTTTTTTTTTTTTTTTAGGATGAAGTCAAGTAAAGTCGAAAGATATGAGTTTTCAGTTAGACACTTAACGGTGAAATGTAAGGTATCGTTCAATGCCGATATTTCAAAAATGCCAAATATCTGCCAATTTATTGGTCTTGGTGATATATCAGTCGACCACTACTGGGCATTACCAAGGGAGGTTGACGCTTCTAGAATATTCTATAGATTATCTGTTTTACGTGCTGGAGAACTAGCGTGTTGTGTGATGGAGAATTTGGGGTACTATAGATTTGAATCAAAGTAAATGCCTTATTTATTTTGACAAAACTCAGAAATACAGTCTGTTCAATGCCTAAATTAAAAAAATGCCAAATATCGGCCGATATATCGGTGATATCTCGATTGACCACTACTGGACATTACCTGAAAACACAGAAGTGGAGGTTGATGATTCCAGGATCTTCTATAGATGATCATCTGCTATACATGGTGGAGAACAGTGTTCTGTGATGGAGAAAATGGGTTACTTTAAACTTTAATCACTTTAATCTGTTTGGTATGTCGTCGTTTTCACAACCTGAGTTATTTGTCTCCTTGAACATTTTGGAAGGATGTATTTTCAATTTTTGATCAGCAATATGAGATATCAAGTGCATATTTCTTCTGTTCCTCAGTCTTATTTTTGTTTGCGTACATTTAAATATGGTGTGTTGTGAGAGAGAGCTTTAACTTTACCATGACGCAGGTGTGAAGTGTGAAGATTCCCATCGATGACAGACCTGTCAGTCAGGGTTTATCTTGTGTAAAGTAAACACTTGATGTAAATGTTATGTAAGAGGTTTTCTCAGAGCTTTTTGTTGTATTGTAGTGTGTGTGAATGAGGGAGAGGAAGGGTTGGGTGTGGACGACATTCAATCCTGCTCTTGAGCTGCTTAGAAGTGTATGTCATTCAGAGGTGCACACACACACACACACACACACACACACAATGTACATCATGTATTTAAATTATTTAAGGAGAGTCAGCACTAAGATTTGAGACGTTCTGATGGGTGTGCTGTTAGGTTTATTAGGTTAACATCTAACATTATTTGTTCATTTTCCAACCTTTGTTTCATCATTTTCAAAGTCAAAGGTCAATTTCTACATCTAATTGAGTTATTAATTAACTCTGTATATCTGAAGGCTGTGATTCTGTTGAGCAGATGTCTGATTTTAAATGAATAGAAGTGCTTTGATTTTTCTCAGAAACGTATTCAATCTACTCCAAACTGAACTTTTCTTCAAAGAATCTTTTCATCTTAATGCTTTTTCATGTTCTGTTGAGATTTGCATTTTTGCAAGGTTGAGATTTACTTTCACAAGGTTTTTAAAGAAACTAAAGCACAGTTTGCCTTGATGAATACTTGGAAGAAATTAGTTTAAAATGCTAAAAATGCATATGTGTGTGTATAATGATGTAAATGATGTAATAAATAAATATATATATATATATATATATATATATATATATATATATATATTAATGTTATTACATTATATTATATATAAATAATGTTATTTTTTGTACAAAAGTTGTGAAGATACAGATGAATTTTTAAAGAAATTAGGGCTTTTATTCAGCAGGGATGCATTAAATTGATCAAAAGTGACATTTATAATGTTACAAAAGATTTCTATTTTAAATAAAATGCAGTTCTTTTGAACCTTCTATTCATCAAAGAATCCTGAAAAATAAAATGATCACGATTTCCACAAAAAATATTCAGCAACACAACTGTTTTCAGCATTGATAATAATCAGAAATGTTTCTTGAGCAGCAAATCAGCATATTAGAATTATTTCTGAAGATCATGTGACACTGAAGACTGGAGTAAGGATGCTGAAAATTCAGCTTTGATCACAGAAATAAATTACATTTTAAG